CAAGCAAACAGGCGCACTTGCACAACACATAGACAATACGGAGCATCGTGGGCGTAAATTACGGGGGATTGTAGCCCCCTCCCAGTAAATTAAAACCAGCTAATACAACCCCCAATAATCATGTTTCCCCCCGGGAATCCCCCGTGATGGGTGGAGACCTCAACCCCCACAATGTTCCAGCCAAAGTTACGCCCTTGCGGAGCATAAGAAATTATGGCAGAGAGAAAGAGGAATGCTGTGTGCGTTCTTTAGTTATAATAAAGTATCTATTTACTTGTAAACTTTGCCCAAATTGTGTCCTGGCTAATTAATAAACAACTCACAAAAACACTTGAAGGTAATAAAAATTAATTCAGCTTTAGCAAATTGATGATGCTTCCACCTTAATTATTAAAAAGTATCGGTATTGCTATCGGCGATACTGGCCCTGTAGATATTAGAGTCTGCTTTTGGTTGTTCTCCTGTTTGGTTTGACCCCTTGTGATCCCTTTGTTGTGTTTCCCTTTTGTATTCATTTTGCTAAATAAAAAACCCTTTTTGCCTGAGAGCCATTACATGCCATAACATTGACAGGTTATTTATGGAGCTGGTAGGGAGGAGAAAACCATAAGAGAAGATGATCACCATAAATATCCAAAAGGAAACAAGCGAAACAAAACACCCACAAAAAACACAATTCAGGTCTGTGAAAGTGCATTAGACTTCATTTAGGGACGCGAGAGGATGGTGATCAGTGAAAACCACAACTGGATTGGTACCATCTCCCACATAAACCTGAAAATGTTGCAAAGCGAGTAACAGGGCAGAGTTACAGAGAGTTACGTTCATCCTCCCAAAAAAATTCTGTTCTTAGATAAACCTTGTGAAGAGGTACCCTCACAGTACCCAATTCAGTACCTTGAACCAGGACATGGCTACAATAGGCCGAGTTAGAAAAGGGCAATATAGTATCATGCATAAACGACTGAGCAGCACCAGTGTCACGCAAGATAGTCACAGGACTCTTCACATCAGTTTCACTAAGCGAAACAAAACCAGTGAGAACAAATGGCTGAATGGCGGGTTTGACAGGGCAGCAAAGTATTACACAGGTCTACAAAAAAAAAATAATTTCAGGTGCCAAGGTTTTTTAATTGATTTAGGGTATTTTGAGGGTGCTCAATTCAAAAGTCCCATTACTTTTGCTGAAATGGTTCTAGTTTTTTAGATAATGGACATCCATGAAAATAATGCATTCCCCCAATGCGACTTGTGTGTGATAACAGATGCAATAGCTTCTGGTCTGTCTTTTGACTCTTTAACAGTGTCTTAGGTAATGAAATATCCCATATAATTATTTTGTATTCCAATTTGTAGGCCTACAATGCTATAAAAGCGACTTTTTGAAACCAGAATTCAACTGTGAATTTGCAGAGGAAAGAAGTCGGCTATAGTATAAGTTTGTCAACCCAGTCTTGGTTTATACCCAAAAAAGTTCTGTCTTAATAAGTATATAAATACATGTAAACATTATGACTTCATCAAGAAGAGCCTGCATCAACAATCCCAATTTTACTAAATGCATGAATGACACTGAGGCTTCGGCCTGGAAGAGTTTTGTCTCTGTTGTGAAGAACTACTTGGGTAATCACAGAGCAGACAATTATGAAGAATTGGTGCAAGATATGCTTGCTAACTTCAGAAATTTGGGGGTTAATATGAGCATAAAGATGCTCCATAGCCATTTAAACAGATTTCCAGATAACCTTGGAGACTTCAACGAGGAACAAGGCGAGAGGTTCCTCCAGGATATGAAGGTGGTGGAGGAGAGATATCAAGGCAGATGGACATACACATGATGGCAGACTGCTGTTGGAGTCTCCAACGTGATTGTGCTGATGACACACATAAAAGGAAATCGCATAAACAGCGTTTTATGAAGCATTGACATTAATAACAATTAATAACTAATTAATATTGTATTAATTAATCAAATCATACATAATTTTTTCCTGTCACTGTTAGACTCTTTACTTACTAATTGTAAATAAAATAAAAATATTCTTGCAATTACTTAATTAATTAATTAACTATTAAATATCTCAGAAACTAGAGCCAATCTGGTAAAACCGGTCATATTAACACAAATTCATCAGCAAGGGTAGCGGCTTCCGCAAGAGAAGTGACCTTCTGTTAATTTATTTGCACAGATGAGCATTGTCGAGAAGAAAAGCATTACTGTAGCCTTTTAATGAAAAAGTTACTATCATCACAGGAGGTTGTGAATGATATCTTCGATTATAAAATGGCATAATAAACAACTAATTAGAGGTTTTTTTAGTCGACTTAGAGCAAGAAAATGAATTTACAGCGAGCGGCTGCTTCTGCTGCACTGGAGACTGGCGACTTTGCCTTTAAATAGAGCGATGATGTCAGGGGAGGCAATCCGTGGCTGGGGGGCAGTTTAGAGCACAACACCTGTTAGCTTCAGGCACCAACATCGATATTTTGACGGAACTGACGGAGACTGAGGGCTAGGGAGCGAAGCATCGTCCGGTGGGTTAGCACCAGCAAGAGCTAACGAAGCAGCGGAACAAGAAGCACCAGGGACGAGCTTATATTGTGAGGCTGAGGGATGGGCTGTAGCTGGCTCATTCTCACTCATTCTTTTGCAGGGCAACCTCCCTATCCGCTTCCATCTCCAAAGCCCTTACCCAAAGGAGTTGAGTTTGGTAATCCTGCCTCTTGATCTCCAATTCAAGCTCCCTAAGCCAAATCTTAAGGAGGATGTCCTCCTTGGGCGAGCCGGGATCCCTGGGACCCATGCGTAGCCGAGACTCCGGGCCTCCAGCTTCCGCCATTGTAGGCAACCGGATCAGGCAAGGTGCAACACCCGAGGGAGCTCCAGGCTCTGGCAGGATTCCCTGTTTGACCAGTTCGTCCTGCAGGACCTGCTCAATCTCCCGTTTCGAGGCATCGACAGCCTTCCTGCAGCAGTCAAACTGCTCCTTTGTGGGGCACATGGTGAACTCAAGCAAGTCGAACTTAAATACTAAGTATTTAAGTATTACATACTAATCCTAATCACCAGGAGTTCCCCCTTAAATTTGAATCACAATAAATATGAGACACAAAGGCTGGGTGACAGACAAAACCCAAGGACGATCCCACCAATCTCGATGATTGAAAACTGACAGCACGTAATACTAGACACTTTTCTGGTGAGGTTTGTTGGTCTCGCCAAATTGACACAGATGAGACACTAAGTACTTAAGTACAAAAGGCAGAAGGTCAGCTGACATCGAATTGATAATCAGTCTATTTATTCTCTAGTCCCGCTCACAGCTCAATTACTGTAATCCTTAAGAAATTTCTTTTAAAATATCGCATATGAAAATCAATATTTGCACAGTGGTTTCAGTAAACATTGCAATGCTGCTGTTAATAAGGAACAATTTGATATTAGGGATACAGATAATTATCCTAGCACTGGACCAAACTATGGATTAACCAGAGAATTTATAGTAGTAGGACCTGCCAGGAAGTGTCAGTCACCTGTGTTTGCCCTTAACTTTGACTTGATAAATCTGGCAAAGCCAACAAATACTACTCTTTTTACTTTACAGAATCTGAAAATTGAGCGTTCTGAATGTTCCCTTTTTAATGGATAAGTATAGTCAATTGTAGCACAAACTGAATTTCACTAAAATCACTGTGAAATCTGATACCGTACTGCTCTGGTGGGCGAGTGATATTGGATTTATAAAGATAAATGAAAAATAAATGAGAAATATTATCTGCGTAAAAGATCATGTTAATTTCTTGCATAAAATGTACGTGCACATAAATGCCCCAGCACTGCTCACATTGTTTAGTTTATATTTTAAGAAAAATATATATAAAAAAAATCAGTTCATTTTTATATAGTGCCTTTTTATATACAGTAGGCACTTTACATGGATATGTTGTGATACATTAAACATCATTAGAGAGAGTAACACAGAATGGGGAAAAGGAAGGAAAGAAATTAAAGAAAGAAAGCCAGACAACAATGGAGGAGAGGAACCAAAAACTCTTAAGGAGAAAAAACACACTTGGGGTCCAAGGTCAACTGGCCTCTGCATTTGTCACGCAGATCTTCAGATGTGACAAATCTGCATCCTTCAAGTAAGAAGCCAAATGTAAACTCATATCATTCCTCTAGTCTTTTTGTCTTTTTGTCTACTTGCACCAGTTTGCTTGTGATTTCTTTACAGCCCTTAGAGGAGAATACCCTCTCCTCTTTTGGGCTGTATATCATGGCTTTGGCGACTTCATCTGCAATGTCTTCGTCGGGTTCCATGTTCTGATTGGCCATCTCTGCCAGGGCACACATGTGGACGTGTTTGTATTCCAGAGGTAGGAATGGGATGAAGAAATCAATCAGGTATTTATCAATCAGGCTGGTGTGCCACATGCCACCTGGAGAGACATACAGAAACAGATAGCACCATGAGATGTGATGGCAAAACAATACAAAGGACCAGCATTCCAGGGAGCATGTCCACAGCCACGTGCCGAGTGCTTTCTAGGATATGCTTCAGCGTAACTGAGCAGCTGTTCTGCATAAGAGACGAGGACATGTGAAACATTCACTGAACAAAAACCCCAAATCCAAAACAGGGCAGCACATTGGCTACATCAGGGAATCCTTTCAGTAGCCACCCGGCAGAATGTCAGTGATACTATTCATCAGGATCAGTGGGCCTCATTCACCAATGTTTTTTTTTAAGAAACTGACTCACACAGTCTTCACAAATATTGAGACATACATCAGTGTTTTATTTGGGATTTGTTCTTAGGTAAGAATAGAATTTATACACACGCAGGACCACACCCATGCACATTTGGGTGCTGACAAGTTTGCGTGAAAGAATTGCTTATCGTGTTTTCTTCAATCCTAGTTATATGATATTATAAGATTTAAACTACAATGATCAGTTATAATACAGTAATTAATTCACATTTGCCAAATTTACATACACAGTTTCAAATATTTGCAAGTAGGCCGTGAGGAATTTAACAAATATTCTGGAGCTCGCAGAAAGATCGCAGAAAAACACAGATGACAAGTAAGCCAAAAAAACAATACTGAAAATGATACAGATCACATAAAAATATTTAATATATAAATATTAATAATACATAATAGTAAAAGTGTTAGCTTGGGTATTTGTATATTGTAGAAAAAGGTCTAGATAGGAAATGACAATTTGACATGCAGGGTGTACAGTACTGTTTGTTAAGAAACTGGTAATAAATAGAACCTTTATGTTACTGTTTAGGATAGCAGGCTGTTGTGGGTTGAATTTGCCCAAGTATTATATGCGAATTTCCATACTGGCGGGGATCTTCAGTCCCGAACCCTTGCAAATGTGAAGGGGTTACTGTAGTCTCAAAAAACTGTTTAATAATTACAATTTTAAATAATTATTATACTATAAATATAATTTTATAATTATTAAAATATTTTGTGACCATTAATACTTACAATTAATAATTATTACAGAATGAGTAACAGCATCCCATGCATCATGTTATTTTATATCCACTACTAATGCTACTAAATATGACCTGTTTGCTCTTCAAGCATAGGAAAACTTCAGGAGGTGGAGTCCGAAGGGTTCAGGCTCTTTTATTGGAATTGGCAGGGTACTGATCTATGCTAATTAAGAACAACTAGCATGTCCTTTCAATTTACGAGGAGAATGGGATTCATCATTATAAAAACACATTTACGAACAATTCTGGTGTCTGAATGCAGGGTCAGGCCTGGGGCAGGGTGGGGGGTCAGTGTCCAACAGAGATGTGATTATGGACTCGAAACAGCTAACTTCTAATCATTCACCCAGAAGCTTAACCTGCTAAGCCACACACTGCACCCCAAAATAATAAGACACAATAACAATAAGAAATGCACAAAAAAAAAAGAAAACCAAAAGGATACTAAGAGTAAAAGACAAAGTAACATACTGTACTTGTTGTTGAACACCTCAAGAGACAGCTTTTCTTCTAGGTCTGACAGTTGAATTTCTTCCCGATCTTTTCCATTTTTCCAGAATTCTAAGGCAACCTGCTTAATTGTCTCTCCACCTGCATTACTGTACAAATGATAAGAAACCAATCATACAGATTTTCTATGAGCCCAGGAACTGAGCTCTTAAATACAAAATGCACATGAAAATGCCAAACCTCAAAAACAAACACAAGGGGGTCACATGGCTCCGGTGCAGGATGGTGAGTTTGAGTAAGACGCTCCGCGCAACTTAACATAAAACTTACTCTAAAAACCCTAAAACAAATGTAAACTTTAAGACTGTTCAGTGAGATTATGTTTGGTATACCAGAGAGTAAACAGTGTGAAATTTTTACAAGAAAACGCAAAATTGCTAACTGTTGAAACGGGTTCTACTAATATGGCAGATCTGAGGAGTATTTTGACTGAGCTCAAAGCGCTTCGTACACAGTTCAGCTCGAAGCTGGACAGGATTGAGAGGCACATAAGTGATGTGATCAGTTCTGTGAAATCTCTGGAGAATAGTTTGTCTGTAGTTAAACAAGCTATCGAATTAAATAAGAAACAAATCAATGAAGCAAAAAGTCGGATCATACATCTGGAAACCGAGCTTGAAAACAGTCTCCACGTTAGCGGCAGTGACGAAACGGGCTGCTTACCTAGAAGCCAAGACGGACAACCTGGAATACCGTGCAAGGAGAAAGAATCTCCGACTCTTTGGGCTCAAGGAGAGAGCCAAGGGTTCACGTCCTCTTTTGGACTTTGTAAACACCATGCTTCCACAGTGGCTCAGAATGTCATCGGATGTATCGTTCACGCTGGAGTTCATCGCATGCTAGCTCCAATAAAGCCAAACCAGCATAGAGTTGTGCTCGACAGATTTCTTAAGTTTCAGGAGAGGGAATCATTCTTTTGCTCCTTTAGAAATCGTGAAATCTTCCAAGAGGGGGCAAGGTTATATCTTATCGAAGACCTCTCATCGGAAACTGTCGACAGCGGTGAGAATTCAACACCATGAGAAAGCTCTTCATGGACAGAGGTATCTACCGCGGCTTCCATCCTCAGCCTTGTCAATTGAGGGTCATCCATGAGGGAAGGATTCGTCTTTTTTCCTCTCCTAAGGAAGCAGATGAGTTCTACAGCAGCACTTATTCGAATGCTGGATGAATGGAGTGGGCAGTTTTCAGACTGACAATTGTTGCGAATGAGACTGATTCCTTTAATGTTGAGTCTATTGAAAGCCTAATACTGTATCTTTTGTTTTATCTTTATCTTTTGACAGTGGCTGAATCGAGACTGTATTTGTGACTCTCAAGGTTAGTTTACTGTCAGGGTCAGCCCCCACGCTGTGGTCCTTCCGTGCCCCTTCCCCGTTTGACCAGCAGGTGGTGCTGGTCATCCCGTCCATACATCAGTCCTTGTTTCTCCCCTATTACTTGTCTGGTCTTGTGGCTCTATGTATTAAGCATGTGCTGTCTGTTTGCCCCTTGGTCCTGAGTTCCCTCTTGTTGTGAGTTCGAATCCCGCCTCCTCTGTTTTTGTATTTAGCTCCCTGGTGTTTTCCTTTATGCTTAATTATTCCTGGTGTTTGCTTTGTAATTGGTTTTGGTTTTGTTTCTTGTTCCCTTGCCTATGTACCTTCCGTGTGATATATGNACACCAAGAAAACCAAGGAGATCATAGTCGACTTCAGGAGGCACAGCACCGACTTAGCCCCCCTCTACATCAACGGCGAGTGTGTGGACAGGGTCCACACCTTCCGGTTTCTCGGCATCCTTATTTCCGCTGACATCTCCTGGACAGACAACATCACAGCAATTACCAAGAAGGCTCAGCAGCGGCTACACTTCCTGAGAGTCCTCAGGAAGCACAACCTGGACTGCAACCTGCTACTGACCTTCTACCGCTCATCCATCGAGAGCCTGCTGACGTACTGTATCACAGTATGGTATCACAGTATGGTATCACAGTACTGTATCACAGTGTGGTATCACAGTATGGTATCACAGTACTGTATCACAGTGTGGTATGGCAGCTGCACCACAGCAGACAGGGAGAGGCTTCAGAGAGTAGTAAAGGCAGCACAGAAGATCATTGGCTCCCCTCTCCCCTCCCTGACGGATATTTACACCTCCCGCTGCCTCAGCAGAGCAAAAACGGAGCCCAATGAACACAATTTGGACTTATAGTCCTCTTCCTTCGCATGTCTGAAAGTTCGTAAGTTGAAAGTTCGTAAGTAAAGGAGCGTCTGTAGTTAGAAAGTATGTGTGCTATTCAAGTGTTACAGTTGCGCAATACTGACAGAGTCTAGGGTTCAGTGTTAATTTTGACAGCAATATTTTTTTTTAGTTTTAGTCATAGTCTTTTGACTAAAATGTAATTTAGGTTCAGTCATAATTTAGTCATCTAAATTACTTTAGTTTTAGTTGATCTAGTCAACTAAAATTAAAAGTGCAAAGTATATGTTATGATCGCCCAGCGGGCAGGAAGGCAGCAAAGCCGTGAAGTCGGAAACCGGGGTTTATTGGCACAAACGGGGCAGACAGCGACGAACATCAATGACCGATCTAGGGAAAATTAACTCAGACGCGGACTATATACAGTACATAAGACAAGCAGAAAATAACAGGCAACAGGTGATAACAATCGGGGTAGCACGCGTAGGTAATGAGGGGGCGTGGCACACACGAGGATCGTACGAGCAGGTCATGACAGTATAATGTTTAAAGTTTCCCTTCGATTTCTGAAAGTCATTATGTTCACCAAGATGAAATGAAACCAATGTTAAGGAATGGTGTTAAGGTCTGACTGTGCAGTACACAAATACCAAATACACAGATTTCATTCTTATTTGAAACACAAACATATGTATATGTAAACTTAAACTGAGTACTGTAAAATCAGTAGTGCCATTAGTGCAAAAGTAAAATCACTTCAAAGAAAAAGTGCATAGGCTATAATGCCACCAGGTCTGCTCTCTCTGAATATTAAAATAAAAAAATTAAAATTTATATTTGTAATATTTTTATTTGCTATTGTTCGCTGTTAAATGTTTCACCTGAAATTCTCAAATATGTTCAAAGAAAAAGACCAATAATGGTCTCAGGGATTTATACCCATTATCAAAAAAAAAATTCCAAACATTAAAAACACACTTGGGGGTGGCATGGTGGTGCAGTGGTTAGCACTGTTACTTCACACCTCTGGGACCAGGGATGGCGTCTCTGCCTGGGTTACACGTGTGTGGAGTTTGCATGTTTTCCCCATGTTATCATGGGGTGTACTCTGCTTTCCCCCCACATTCCAAAGACATGCTGAGGCTACTTGGAGTTACTAAATTGCCCATAGGTGTGAATGGTGTGTGAGTGTGCCCTGCGATGGGCTGGTCCCCTGTCCTGGGTTGTGCCCATAGCTTCCGGGATAGGCTCCGGACCCCCTACAACCCAGAAGGATAAGTAGTTTGGAAAATGGATGGATGAAAATATACTTCTCAATGGCATCACTAGCAGGAAGTGCAACCATTCTATTTCAGCATTTTCAACAGCAAAATAATTACCCCAAGGCTACAATTCTATTAGTGTATAGAGCCAAAAATCAACTCTCCTCTCTTTCAGGTGATTTCATGTTCGTTGAATTTTCCGCTTTTTAACAACTATATAAAGTAATGTTATATGTTATATAAATCAACTCCGGTGAAACAAAAAAAGATGTACGTTTTCAGGGTTGCCAAATCTCAAGCTTCTGGTATGACACTCACGCTTTCAGACTCACGCAGGAAATCTTACAGCAAATCTAAATTATACCATTATAAACCTAAAATTAGCTACATCCAAAGTGTATTTACACGGTTAAATACAAAAGCATACTATTTACAAGGTAAGAACATGTTACATGTGTGCAGACAAACTCAAACAGAAAATCTCACTCCAACCAGCTGGCCGAAGTTGGCAACCCTGCGTTTTATTTGAAATGAAACGTAAAATGCACTGTTTCCCCCTGAAACGTTACGTTTCATAATATGTTTCGAAATAATATGACCGCCCATATCCTACTCTAATAGCGATTGTGGTAAGTTCGTATACATTTACATTAAAACGAGACTTTAATTTTATTACCAGTGTGGGATTATGAAAACCAATACTTAAATCCATGAACACTAAAATATGTGACATAAAAACGTTTGTATTAGGGTTTTACGGTTTACGTTAAGCACGTACTTTATTCAAATATGCACAATTTTCACATTTTATTTTATCTAATTTTGCAATGCAGCCCTACTTTTAAAATGTCCTTTTAAAACTAGTAAATGAGAAAACATTATACATATCGAAGTCATACATATATCTTCAGCTCTATGTCACTTGGCAATAAATATTGTTAAAACAGTTTTTGAATTGTACTGAATTAATTTGATTTGACAGTCAGATATTGATTACATGCAGTGTTGATACAACTAACAGGCTACTAAAAATAATACCCCTGTATGCGAACTACATTAGTTCTGATTGTATCTCGTCTCTGGCAAACATTTTCGTTTTTATTCGTTGACGAAAGTGTCAATACACTTCGTTATAGTGTTAGGCCTCGCGAAATCATTTTTACTTAGTTATCGTCTCGTTTTAGTCGGAAAATAAAGGTCGTTGACGATAACGATGACGAAAAAATTTCGTTAACAAAATTAACACTGCTAGGATTATGTTCAAAGATTGTTGCACGCGAGGTCGCGCTGTTGCTGACGGTTGCCATTAGTAGTTTAGAGATCCATGCCACTAAATGGTTGGCCATGTCGTTTGGGGACAAGGTCTTTACCTGAGGGCTGGGGGGAGGGTTTGATGTCTTTGGTTTGTTTGGTTTTTTCCTTAATGGTGGATGTTACAATTGTTTTTGTAAGTTAATATGGCAAGTTCACTTAATGTGGTTACATGATGGAACATAAAGGGGATAGGCCATCCGATAAAACGGAAAAGCGTCCTTTCATTTTTAAAGATAGATAGAATTAACTGATATATCATTGTTACAAGAAACTCACCTATCTAATATAGAAGATCAAAAATTGAAGCGAGACTGGGTGGACCAGTATTACTTCGAGCTTTACTACACAACAAGAGGCACTGCCATACTAAAACTGTTTCTCTATTTAGTCAATATTGTTCAGCTAAGGGGATAATAGCTGGGGATTTTAACTGTTGTATTGACAGGACTTGTGATTGGTCTCAGTCCCTTTCCAGCTATGAGTCCTCTAGAGCTTTGCAGTTAGTTATGGAGGATGTTGGTTTAGTGGATGTTTGGAGGGAACTTAATCCTAGAAAACGTGCACATGATTACGCATTTTACTCATCAAGACATAATTCTTATTTACATCTGGATTTTTTCTTGCTTCCACAGCAAATGCTGGCATCAGTGGAAGACTGTAAAATTGGCCCTGTTCTAATCTCTGATCATTCTCCAGTTTACCGTAGTCTTTCTTTTACTCAGCGTATACCTAGACATACATACTGGGAATAAAATTGCTCCATTCTTAAAAACGTAGAGGCTTGCGATAAAATTAGAGTTTGGATTAAGCAGTATATGGAAGATAATGCTGCATCAGAGATGTCACCAGCAATAATGTGGGATGTGGCCAAAGCAGTTATCAGAGGCCATCTGATATCATATTCCTCTGCAAAGAAAAAAGCACAATTAGAATGTAATCAACAATTTATAACGGAACTTGCGCATTTGGATCAAGAACATAAACAGAATCCCTCCCCAGATAAATTGAAACGTTTAAATGATCTCAGATTTCAGATAAATACCTTTCAAACAGAACAGGTCAAAAGCTTATGTACTTCACTAAACAGAAATATTTTAGATTTGTAAATAAACCTAGAAACCTAGTAAACTTCTATTACTTCATTTGAAAAAAGAACGCGCTTATCGTTCACAGCTATTTGTGACTCTCAATGTTAGTTTACGTATGAGGCAAAGAGGATAAATGACTCTTTCGTAGATTTCTTTAAGTCACTATATGCTTTTAAATGTCCTTCTGATTTAGACACTATTACATTTTTAAATTGCCTAATCTTTCCAAAACTTTCCGAAGATCTACCTAAATTCCGCCTTTACTGCAGAGGAGGTACAGTACAACAAATCATTGATTCTCTATTTTCGGGAAAGGCACCACGTTTAGATGGATACTTAACTGAGTTCCATAAATGTTTTTGACTTGAAATTGAACCTTTGTTTATGCCAATGCTCAATGACTTTTTTAAAAATGGGACACTCCCTGAATCTATGGCATCAGAATCTATCTCCTTAATCCATAAAAAAGATAAAGACCCTACTGATTGTACATCATATCGGTTAATCTCGTTACTTTCAGTTCACTTTAAAATTTGAGCTAAATTAATTGCAAGAAGATTGCAAAAGGTTTTACCTTTCCTGGTAAATCCAGATCAGACTGGTTTTATAATAGATAAATACGGTTCAGATAATTTTTCCAGACTTCTTAATATTATTGACTATTCAAATCGTAATAAACTTAAAACTTTAATAGTATCCTTGGATGCAGAGGTGGCTTTCGATACAATAGAATGGACATATTTTTCTGTATTAGCTAAATTTAATTTGGGTACCACATTTATAAATCAGATTAAGTCCTTATATAGAAACCCCAGCGCACATATATGTATGAATGGTATCTTTTCAGAGAGGTTTGAATTGTTCAGAGACTGTCGACAGGGTTGCCCTCTGTCTCCTCTTTTATTTGATTTAGCCATAGAGCCTCTGGCAGAGGCCATACGGGCCAGTCAGGCTGTTTTGAGAGTTGATATTGGAAGTATACAAAATAAAATCTCACTATACGCGGATGACATCTTACTTTATCTTTCGGAACCAGAGTTTTCTGTACCTGCTCTATTAGATATTATTTAAAAATTTGGGGAAATTTCTGGATATAGAATCAATTCCATAAAGTCAACTGCTTGTGTTGTGGGTTCACCAATACCCAGGGAACTCCAGACTCTCTCTCCTTTTGATTGGGCACAGAAAGCCTTTGCGTATCCAGGGGTAAACGTATCCCCCAATACTGAAGATCTGCTAGATGAAAATTGCTCCCCACTTTTTCATAAGGTCATAGAGGACATTAATAGATGAAATCTGTTGCCTCTTTCTCTCCTTGGTAGGATAAATTCAAACTAATATTCTACCAAGATAAAATTATCTATTTCAGTCTGTACCTTGTTATTTAAGCACTTCATTTTTAAAACCTATAAACGGGTTTGACTGGACTCGACTAAGAGAAGACACCTCATCTGACTGCATTCTGCCACAATGCGCTGAGGGCACGATGGCTAGGTAGGCACAGGAGTCCAGGAATAGGGGTAAAACTCCGTATTTATTGCAGGGGCGCCACGAACATGAACATGAACATGAACACGACCACGAACAAGGCTGAGACGTAAATGACAGGACTAGTGAAACATACTCTGACGCGCACTTAAATATACAGGACTAATGAAAACAACTCGAAACAGCTGAGGACACGGGGATTCCACACGAGGCTAAGGAGGGGGCGTGGCACACAGGAAGATTGGACGAGCAGGGTGTGACACATGCATACCAGAGAAATCAAACAACAGTAGACAAATAAAAGGTAGAGGCAGACAAACAAAGGAATTCTCTTTAAGTTACTCACCTAAGAAAAATGAAAATAGTGCGTCGATAGGACACACCATCCTGGTTGTCATAGTAATCCAGGAATGGCTTAATACTGTCAATAAGTCCAGGGGGCATCTTGTCCATTTCATCAAATATAAACATAGAGCGATCACAACTGGACACATTCCCTTTGATCCACTGCTGTAGCTGGGTCTACGGAAACACCATTGGAAAGCAGGAGAAATGCATGTCAGTGAAAGCCTGGAGAGAGTCAGGATGGACACGTGCACTACAATGATGTGAAAGCTGGAAGTTATAGCTTCATTGGTACTGAAATACAAAATCCAAATTCACAGTCAACTACAGTACAGCCACTGCGTCACATGAGTAAAGAACGAATTCAGCAGGGGTTATGTGTAATATCTGCCAATATTACCCTCTTGTTCTTACTTTGTAGATGTCAATTTTACTTATGTGTGGAAAGTGAAGAGTGGTCACGAACTGGTGCACAAAGCTGCTGGACATCCCTTTTTTGTAGATATTGGAGGCTAGGAGTTCGCTGACGAAGTTCTTCCCAGTTCCTGTCAATCCATGGAGTGAAAGGACAAGAGGCTTTTTTTGAGTCTTCTTGTTTACGAAGTCAGTAACTGCCTTCAGTAAAACCTTTGACGCTATGTGCTGCCCGAAGAGCTTCTGTTCAAGGTTGACTTGGAGCCCTGTGAGACGACAGTTCTGCAATTTTCAATCAATTACCCATTCAAATAAAGAACTATCAATCACCTGTCAAAGCTGACACTGCAGCTGGGTGTCATAAATAACAAAATATGCATTTAGCCGATGTGACTATAACATTTTATAAGATACGAAGTAGCATTAATGTCAGCAAATAAATAAGTGCTTAATACGGCCGGTGCGATTAGTCGACGCTGAAAATGCGTAGCCATCAATATTTTAAATCGACGTCTTGTTTAATTTGAATGAAAATAACATTATGATTGCTAAAACGTTTCAATTCACTATAGCAAATGTTTTCCTTTAATATCACTACGTAATTATGTAGTTTAAATCGTCACATAACAAAGAGTTGGTTTTACACTGTGCAAAGTTACAGGGGCACGAGCGCTATGCACGAGCGCCTGAAAAGTTACACGCTATTGCTAGGCTAGCGTATACAAAACCACCGTAAGCGCTGTCTATTCATGATTATTAAATTAGCATTAGTACAGACAGCTTTTTAATATCTTTTGTCCATTATTGAAGCCATAAATTTGTTTGCCTGCTATTTTATAATCTCTGTTGAATAAGTACTTAAAAGATATAAATAGATTTATTCTACGTGGATTGACGGTGCCAGTGTGTTAATTTGTGCGCATTGGGCTTGTTGGGACCAGTTTTATTATCGTAAACTGAAACTGAAACGAAAACGGGCACCAAATAAAAGAAAATAATTCGTGAACTGAAATAAAAATGAAAACTATATTTACAAAAAAATAACGTGTCGGACTTAATCAGCAAAAAGTAGCGCCACACCAACAACATCTTTTTACTTTTTCTATTCACAATTTCTCACCTTTTAAAATACATTACAATATGTATTGTAGGTATTATTACTATCTTAGGCATAGTACTAATTTGCTTATCGAATTGTGAGCGAAAATAATGTCCGTATAATGCAGAAAAGCCCATTATCTAAAGCCCTGCAATAACATTCTTTGTTGTAAAAATAAAAATAAACTAGACGGTCTACTTAACTTTCCGGAGGAAAATATATGGTATATAGTATAGTATAGTGACCTACCGCAAGCCACCCATAGCTAACTTCTTAAAAGTACAAAGACGGCTTAATAGGACAAATAAAACAGCTACTTAT